ATACTGAATTTGTGAACTGACTTTTGACACCACATCTCTTCAAGGGCGTGTCGCGATGCCTAGTGTCAAATCATTAAGATTTGAATATTACCTTGTCAACAGCTAAACAGTGATGAAGGAAAACACCACAGATCAAGTAATTATATTTTTGCATTAAACAATGTCATAACATCAAATAATGCACAGCTACTTTATTTCAGTTGTATATATTGACAGATAATGATCAATGCTAAAAGCTGCAATGGTTTACTTCCTGTGTTATATATTCCCTGAAACAGTTGTGTGTACTCGTACTTCTAGGAACAGTTTATAAGTGAGGCTGTACGCCGGTGTCACCACGTGACTTAATAGCGTTGCACGTAAAGATCAAGGTCGTAGCTCATGTAATAGGGATAGGTTATTGCGATGGTGAGTTTATTTAAAGCCGCAGTGAGCAGATTCCTGGTTGTGTAACCCGACATCATCTGTAATCTTTACAACGTAACTAGCTGTAGCTGGACTGACTGACTGACTGAGTTTAGTTTTACGCCGCTTTTAGCAATATTCCAGCAATATCACGGCGGGGGGACACCAGAAATGGGCTTCACACATTGTGCCCATGTGGGGAATCGAACCCGGGTCTTTGACGTGACGAGCCAACGCTTTAACCACTAGGCTACCCCACCGCCCCTGTACTGCTGGCGACACTAATGCGCGTGATGCACAATACAATATTTGGTTTAACGGGGTTTTTTAATGCCAGGTTCTGTAATCTTATTGTTGTTGGAAACCCGCAGTGATGATGTCCTACACTTTCCTTTCTGGTGAAACTCAGAGAACAGGTATGTTGCTGAAATACCTAGATTCATAATCACGGGGATTCTGAGATTCGAACCCACAGTGATTGAATTCTGTTAGCTAATGTTGTGCCGCTACATGGGACGTTTGGCTCACCTTTGTGTCCCGCTACCTGGTGAGTTTACCTGAGGATAGATCCCCAGTAGCTCAAGATTATCGGGTGAGACTACTACTTGCACAGTTGTCGGTCAGTCGTGGAAATATGCTCAAGCTGTCAACCGCTGGTTTGGCCTGGCCCAGACTTGATAATGTAACGGTCGTGATATAGTTGCGTTCAAACACCTGTCACTTGACTTGATTATGATACAAGAACAGACTGACCTGATCCGTAAGTCGGCTTTCCGTCAGGTAACCCAGCAACTCTTTCCCCGAATCTACATGGAGCCTAGTGCGCTTCACTTGTAAGATGCTACTGAAATCAAATTGGGCAGTGTCATGGTGAACATCCTACAATCCCCCATCCCACAACCCTACCTGTGAAAGACATTCCTATGACAGAAAACCCGTTCGTAACGACAACCATACAATACAAAAACACTATTAAAACAACCCTGCAATCCTCACCCCACGGTAACCTTACAACCTCCTCTCAGACCATAAAAATAACTTCGAAATAACGACAACTCAACAGCCTCCTTCCAGACCATAAAAATAACCTCGAACTAACGACATCTCAACAGCCTACCTTCCAGACCATAAAAATAACCTCGAACTAACGACATCTCAACAGCCTACCTTCCAGACCATAAAAATAACCTCGAACTAACGACATCTCAACAGCCTACCTTCCAGACCATAAAAATAACCTCGAACTAACGACATCTCAACAGCCTACCTTCCAGACCATAAAAATAACCTCGAACTAACGACATCTCAACAGCCTACCTTCCAGACCATAAAAATAACCTCGAACTAACGACATCTCAACAGCCTCCTCTCAGACCATAAAAATAACCTCGAACTAACGACAACCCTACAGCAGCACCCTCCCAGACCAGAACAAATGTTCTTTTGGTCACATAGAAGATGACCTTTTGTGTGATGTAGTGTTTAGTATGGTCACTTCTCACATTCTTCTCCTAACTCCTAAGCTATTTCAGGAATATAGCAGATTTGAATGTATAGATGCAGATGCACATATTCACTGTCAGTATCAGTGTGTATTAGGGTTGGGACGAGTCCGAATTTTCGACTCGGGTACCCTGCCCTGCCCTGCCCTGCCCTGCCCTGCCCTGCCCTGCCCTGCCCTGCCCTGCCCTGCCCTGCCCTGCCCTGCCCTGATACCCATTATGTTAACTTCTGACATAAAATTTGTAAGAAATGGCAATATATTCCTCAGCTCAGAGGCTAAAATTGGGTGCAACGTTTTATGAAATATCGCGTTTACATAAGTTCGAAAAGTGGTCAAAGTGCCATGGTGACCCAAATCAACTGGTGTCTGGTAATCCCCCACTGTAGGCTGTCACCAAACTTGAAGACATTAGGTACAACAGTTCATGAGATATCGCGTTAACAAGAATCAGGTTTAAGGATCACTGACTTGGTTGGCATTTTGCACAGATCGACGCTCATGCTGATGGTCACTGGATTGTCTGGTCCAGACTCGATTATTTTCAGACCGCTGTAATATTGCTTAGTGCGGCGTTAAACAACAAACCAGTGAGTGAGTGAGTTCAGTTTTACGCCGCTTTTAACAATATTCCAGCCACATCACGGCGGGAGACACCAGAAATGGGCTTCACACATTGTACCCATGTGGGGAATCGAACCCGGGTCTTCGGCGTGACGAGCGAACGCTTTAACCACTAGACTACCCCACCGCCCCAAACAACAAACCAACCAACCGTAAATACTATCCTACAGCCCCTTCTCCTAGACCCCTCAATCCTCAGTAACGCCGAGGAACATACCCCCGTTACGACTACCCCGTACCTCTCATCCAGGTAAGTATTGGTTTTCGATCTGACGGCGCCCTATTGGTTTAAATTTCTGCACCAAACTCCCGTTTCTGGTTTTCTCTAGCGCTGTTAAAACAGTCTACCTTCATGACAGTGCTCTCCCTTCTCACAAGCCACCGCCTCCCTGAGAGAGGAAGGTCGCGGGTTCGATCCACGGTCTCGTCATACCAAAAGACGTTAAAATATGGTACTTGTTGGTCCCTGCCTGGCGCTCGGCATTAATGGGTAAGACAAGGACTGGTCGGCACGGAGTCAGTATAATGTGTCTGAGTGGGGTATTCATGCTTCACTGCGGCATGGTATATCAGTGGGCTAGCACTATAAAACCAGCATAAGTCTAGGCTAGCACAAGCAGCCACACATACACATAAATGCACGTCGTCATATGAGCGATATATTTACGTTAAACCCCATTTCACCTCCCTCACCTCACCCTCTCACAACTAAACTGACTCCCCCCAACACAGCTGAAGTAGTGTTTAATTAACGGTAGACGTGTCAGTGTGTTGACAGTACAGGAGGACCCTCTGTCCATGTTGTATCACTGGCATCTTCTTGGCACACACTGATACACTGGGGCCAATGAAACCATCACAAATATTTTATTTTCAATATTATTGTAAACAAAAGCATCCGCTCTATACGAGCGTTCAAGTATAATTGGTGTATTAATTTAATACACTTAATCTGATTGTTTGCTTCCCATGTGTGAAAGAAAGAAACGATTATACAAGATGGTAAATGTGTGTGTGTTTACTGTATTGCCTTGTCATGATAACACGTGCTAGATTAAAAGAGGTAGTCATGGATACCAAATACCAGCAGCATTTCAAATGAACACTGGTCTGCGAAAACATCGTTAAATGTATTCACTAAATACACATTCATAGTATTCAATTTAGTTTTAATTAATTTCAATTCTTGATTCCCAATTAGTTTGTGTAGGGTTAATACAATAATTATTGGTATGAACACTGGTCTGAGAAAACATCGTTAAATGTATTCACTAAATACACATTCATAGTATTCAATTTAGTTTTAATAAATTTCAATTCTTGATTCCCAATTAGTTTGTGTAGGGTTGATACAATAGTTATTGGTTTGAACTGTTTGAAGGGGCTGTACGTAATAGGAAAGACAACTCTTTATGGATAATCAACTTCTTTATTATACAATTGGGACGTTTCAGTATAGATGACTTGAACACGGTGTAACTGTCTATACTGGCATGTCGTTATTGTGTAACAAGGAGGGGCGGTGGGGGAGCCTAATGGTTAAAGCGTTGGCTCGTCACGCCGAAGACCCGGGTTCGAATCCCCACATTGGTACAATGTGTGAAGCCCATTTCTGGTGTCCCGCCGTGATGTTGCTGGAATATTGCTAAAAGCAGCGTAAAACCAAACTCAGTCAGTCAGTCAGTATAACAAAGAAATTAATTATCCATAAAGACCTGTCATTCCTACAATAGGTATACTTAATATGTTAACATATGAGCAATAATATCATGAGGAGAAGTGAGTCTCTACGAATAAAGGGGCGGTGGGATAGCCTGGTGGTTAAAGCGTCCGCTCGTCACGCCGAACCACGTGGTTCGATTCCCCACATGGGTACAATGTGTGAAGCCCATTTCTGGTGTCCCCCGCCGTAATATTGCTGGAATATCCCTAAAAGCGGCCTAAAACTAAATTCACTCACTCAACGAATAAGTTGGACAGTGAGTGAATATGGTTTTAGCGGTGTTACGAGAAAATGGTTTTACCGAACCCCAAATGGGAATCGAGCTCTTCTGTGTGACGATGGAAGTCTTTTAAACTTGTTAAAAGAAATTAAAAGTATAATTAAATTGCTTGCCCCAGCCTAACATAAATTCAGATAGAGTATCTAACATACAGAATTATTATAAATTCATATCTTGTTTACACTGATATATCACAGAAACATAAACGACGTGAGAGCTGAAGTTACTTCCCTCTTTCAAACACAACATCACACATTCATAGCACGTCCGTATTACATAACCACAAACATTGCTTTAGGAAAGCCCACACAACTCCACATTCAAGACTTTCTTTTCTTTTTTCTCTCTTCAGCAACCTGATCCCCTCTGCTTATGTACACAACCACCGTCCAGCCTCCTCCCCCTCCCCCCGGCGTCCAAACGCTCCCCTCGCTGGTATATTTATAGCACTAAGTGGCACCCAGCGGGCAGCCCAGCATCTCCCACGGTCGCCATACTGCAGTCCACGGACAAAGACGAGGGAGAGCAGACATGGCCGATCACCACGGTTACTCGAACGGATACAACAATGGCCATGGGTGAGTGACCACCTAACTCGCACTCTGTACTCGTGTTTTAGTCCAGAAACAACATGTGTTTGTGTCCCAACCTGTTGATATGTGTAGTTTAACTCGTGTCAACTTGCTTGTGAACATATGTGATCCGTATTTTCCGTGTGTGTATTTACTGGTTTTACGATTCGCGAGTTGGTTATCAACAGTTCTGACGTAATAGATAACATACGAGTGTACGCGTCTAAGTCTACCATATGTTGAATGTACATCTTTATTAAGATGACTAAAAACAAGTTTCATTCGGAACTCGTTTACTGCAGACTGTGTTATACACCATATCTGATGTTATCGCTGTTTCTAGAAGTTTGAAAGTTGTATCGGATGTTCGTTCCACTACGGGCGCCCAGAAATGAAAACTTGGCGTGAGAAAGATACCAATGTATAACGCGGATCTGCTGGAGTCAATGCAATTGTGTAATTGCAAGTGTTACTAAGAATACCATGCCGGCTGTGTTGATGACGGCACCGACAGAGCCGTGCATGAGGTGGCCACGTTGCGTGGGGGTGGTTGGTCAAACTTAACAAGCCAATCCCTCTCAACACTCACTAACACGTATGTCCATGGAGGATCAGTAGAAGAATACCGTTCGTGATATTTAAGCGGAAAACGGATTAAAATTACATCTAGGCATATATTGAATATTAAGTCGCAGTTTATTATTATCAGTAACGACTATACCGGTAAACTGAACTCTTGGTACAAAATAATGTTTGCATTCAATTATTTTTATTATCTATGTACTTTTTATATGTTTTTGTCATGTTTCCTTGGTGTTAAGTCCTCACCATTGTACTGATGAACGCCAAATACCTGGGACACCAGGTTAGAACTGGTCTCCAGCAACCCATGCTTGTCCTAAAGAGGCGACTGACGAGATCTGGTGGTCAGGTTTGCAGAACTGGTTGGTGCATGTCATTGTGTCCCAACTGCGTAGATCGATGTTCATGATGGCAATCAGTAGATTGTCTGGTCCAGACTCGTGGATCGATATTCATGATGGCAATCAGTAGATTGTCTGATCCAGACTCGTAGATCGATATTCATGATGGCAATCAGTAGATTGTCTGATCCAGACTCGTAGATCTATTTTCATGATGGCAATCAGTAGATTGTCTGATCCAGACTCGTAGATCGATATTCATGATGGCAATCAGTGGATTGTCTTATCCAGACTCGTAGATCGATGTTCATGATGGCAATCAGTAGATTGTCTGATCCAGACTCGTAGATCGATATTCATGATGGCAATCAGTAGATTGCCTGATCCAGACTCGTAGATCAATATTCATGATGGCAATCAGTAGATTGTCTGGTCCAGATTCGATTATATAACGGACCGCTGTCATATAGCTGGAATATGTATGGGTGCGGCGTTAAACAACAAATAAACAAACACAACACCTTCATAACTGCATCTGGTAAAATGTCAAACACTGTCTTTTTTTTCTTTTCCTTATATCCCGAACTTTCTTGCATTTTTAACAAAGGTCTACTTGTGACATTAATTGATGTCATTTGGCCAAATGACTCTATAAGACAGCGGCGTCATACATAGTGAAACCGCTGCTTCAGATGGCCTCCAATAGTGGGTCCCCATCGTGGGAGGCGCAGAACAGGCAGCAACTGACAGCGTACTCAAATATCGGAACAAGTGAAAACGAGATGAGATAACTGATGTTTGTACGTCACTTTGATAAACAAATGTGTCTCGACAACATATAAATACATAATAGGATAAATATCATCATCACACACACCACCCCCACCCCATCCCCCCAGCCATAAAATTATGAATGGTCCCTAATGACTACTTCAAACAGTGATGTTAAAATATATTAAGTTGTGCTTAACTTTTTTGAATGTTATTAAAAGTATTGCCCATAGTTTTGTTTATTAAAAAAACACAATAAAATTGACCCTAATATAACGAACACACATAGTGTACATCTAATCCAGCCACGCTACCATAAGAAGGTTAACTGTTAGGAAGGTCTACTCGGTCCGAATAAACGGGGTTTACTGTATTGGAATATCCTTTGGTGTTAAATGTTTGGTAAAAGTTCACAAATGAACAAAGTTCCTGATTCTTATATCTTTTCTACTAAAAATAATCTACTTCGAGGCCCTTCTATGTAATTTACCACAAAAAATATTTACCGTTTTCAATAACATTTCTTGATTGTGATTCCTGTCGTTATGCCAACGACAACAGTTTTCCGTTTGTATGTTGTTGTGGGGGTTTTTTTTGTTTTTTTTTGTTAATTTTTTGGCTTTTTCTCCGCTGTTTTGCTTTTGGTGTTGGCCCTGGGCACCATTTAAAATGTCCACAATTGTGACATGTTTCCGTCATGTTTGTATAAGTATTACCGTGTCACTCAAGTACAGTTAAGTAGGAAACTAAACTACGCCCCCTTCTATTCGCCTGTTCCGGATTTGTAAAAAAAACTTGTTTACCCAACAACTTTGTCTTGTTTATGAATGGAAATGAAAAACCGTTCCATCACGTCTTGAGGTTCATTGAGTGTGGTCTATTCCACTCACGATCGATCCGTCAGTGTATTCCTATCTCTGATAAACATCAGCTCATGCCATGTAACTTTGTCAGGTCAATAAGATACAATTTGTTTATGCGTTGAATCAGTTGTTCAAGATTTAACAACTCGAAGTTTATTTTTTGAACGAATGCGCGTTTATTTTTCTTGTAAATCCCCGTGCGAGTTAAATTTGGTATTTAGTGCTCTGAACATAATGTCGTGTTTAGCCAAGACCTTTACACAATCCACATCAGTTGTATAATCATCCAATTATGATATTTCCTGTCGTTCTCGCAACCTGTGTTGGTACAGCGTTATTGAGCTCAGTCGAAGACAGTTCTGTAACCTGACATGCAAGATATGCATTCTTGGTTGTCGTCAAGTCAGTGTCTATGAAAACCAAGATTACAGTTTAAAAATACGCATTATGAGTTTAGTTTTAGCAATATTCCAGCAATATCACGGCGGGGAACACCAGAAATGGGCTTCACACATTGTACTCGCGTGTGGAATCGAACCCGGGTCTTCGGCGTGACGTGCGAAATCTCAAATCACCAGGCCCCGATTTCTAGAAACAAACTTAAGTCTGAGTTTTGACTTAAGTTAAAGTTTTTACTCAAATTTGAGAAAATGCATTGCCCAGAATGAACTGAAATCGATATTAAACTCAAACATAGTAGACAAAAATTTGAGTTTGGTGGATAGATTACTTAAGCTGTTTGGACTTTTTTATTTATAAAATGCAGTTGAGTTAAGAATTCAGCTGTTTCAAATTGTCAAACTCAGTTTGAAATTTGAGTAAGAATTTAAGTTTGTTTCGAGAAATCGGGGCCAGGCTTTCCCACCGCCTCTCAAGAGACAATAGACAGGTTTATGAGTAGTAGGCTGTCTGATAGATAGATTGACTGACAGACCTATGAATAGATAGATAGACAGACAGATAAATAGACAGACAGATAGATCAGCAGGTAGACATTGGACTGGCTGATAGACAAATGGCAATGGGCAGACAGTTTACAACAGATTTGGCAGTAGGTAGGCCACACGCGTGTAGACGAAAGTCAATAGACTAGAAGGTGGACAGAACATGCTGGTAGACAATAGATATGGTGGTAGACACGGGCAGATGGTAGACAATAGACAGATGGTAGTCAACACACAGAGTTGTATACACTTGACATGTCGGTAGACATGATGGTAAACAATAAACATGATGGTAGACAATAGACAGATGGTAGACAATAGACAGATGTAGACAAGGGCAGATGGTAGACAAAAGACAGTATGGTAGACAATAGACAGTATGGTAGACAATAGATAGTATGATAGACAATAAACAGATGGTAGACAATAGACAGTATGGTAGACAATAAACAGATGGTAGACAAAAGGCAGATAGTAGACAATAAACATGATGGTAGACAATAGACAGTATGGTAGACAATAGACAGATGCTAGACAATAGACAGTATGGTAGACAATAAACAGTATGGTAGACAATAGACAGGATGGTAGACAGTAGAAAGGATGGTAGACAATAGACAGTATGGTAGACAATAGATAGTATGATAGACAATAAACAGATGGTAGACAATAGACAGTATGGTAGACAATAAACAGATGGTAGACAATAGGCAGATGGTAGTCAACACACAGAATTGTATACACTTGACATGTCGGTAGACATGATTGTAGACAATAAACATGATGGTAGACAATAGACAGATGGTAGACAATAGACAGATGGTAGACAAGAGACAGGTGGTAGACAATAAACATGATGGTAGACAATAGACAGTATGGTAGACAATAGACAGATGTAGACAATAAACATGATGGTAGACAATAAACAGATGGTAGACAATAAACATGATGGTAGACAATAGACAGTATGGTAGACAATAGACAGATGCTAGACAATAGACAGTATGGTAGACAATAAACAGTATGGTAGACAATAGACAGGATGGTAGACAATAGAAAGGACGGTAGACAATAGACGGGATGGTAGACAATAGATGGGATGGTAGACAAATGACAATATGGGATACAAGGGCAGACAGTAGGTAGACAAGGTAGACAGTACATGTGGTAGGCAATAGATAGTGTGGTAGACAATAGACGGGATGGTAGACAATACATATCAGACATGGAGGTGGGCAAAACTTTATAATAGACAATCAACAGGATGGTAGACAATCGAACTATTGATAGACGATACGCAATGGGCGTGATGGTAGACAGTGTACTAATAATGTTGTAAAGGGTATGTGAGCACAGTGAATTTATAGGTAATTAATTTCAAATTGTGACCACGATTGTTTGTGACCAAAGTATGTGTTTCACGTGTTACCATTATGTTGTCTATTCAATAACATTTAATGCAGTGTCTAAATTCATAAAATGACTTTGAAAATCTGCGACGTAAAGGCAGGGAGACCTTAAATAGTTAGGCCAACAACTAGCCTCTGAACATCCTCGATAATCTCCAGGGTATACATTACGATCACTCTCTTGCGATAATCTCCAGGGTATACGTTACGATCACTCTCTTGCGATAATCTCCAGGGTATACGTTACAATCACTCTCTTGCGATAATCTCCAGGGTATACGTTACGATCACTCTCTGGCGATAATCTCCAGGGTATACGTTACGATCACTCTCTTGCGATAATCTCCAGGGTATACGTTACGATCACTCTCAACTATATGGTCGAGAGTGATCGTAACGTATACCCTGGAGATTATCGAGGATGGCCTCTGAAATGAACATATTTTACAGAAAAAGAACAGTTCCTAATAGCAATAATAAAACATAATGAACAGGAGCCCTGAGACTTTCTTCATTTTCAGAAACTGTGGATATCTAGACTTGCTTTATTCTATCTTTGTTTCTGTAGGACAGACTACCTAAATAGTTTACCGTACCTTTTGCACTGGGTTCCAACGATGTAAATGAACTCAGTAGGGGAGGTAACCGCATATAGCGTGAAAAAGCTACTTCGCTCATTTACTGAGGATATAAAGTGTAAATCACATTCAGTATGTAGAGAGAGTAGCCACATGGAGTCAAAAACAAGGCGTAGATATAAAACAGGGAATGAACTGAAACCCGTATTGTTGCTTTGGATTTAAACATACCTGTGTTGATTAAACATTTTGTGAAAATAGTTATATTTTCAGAACATTTGTTTTCTGTTTTTATAAAGACATGATACTGTGTTGTCGCCGTGTTTGGTGCCCGCCTCCATTTTCTTGTAGTTCTTGATTTACAGGATTACGTCACCCTCAGCACATTAGGTCACATTAACTCACACCACTTTATAAAGAAGTACTTGGACCCACGAACAATGATGATACTTTTATTGATATACAACCTCTTTATTCTATAAAAGGCATCACTTGCTAGAATCTATGTCGAAACGTCATCACTTGCTAGAATCTATGTCGAAACGTCCTTTACAGAATAAAGTTGTTTATTATATAGGTAGTATTTTTCCTGTACAACGATTGGTCAAAATACCGTCACATGATTGACTACAAAACACGATATTGACTTGAGTTTTCTGATAAATTACGATATTGACTCGGATAGATCACTCGGATAGATGGCACAGTGTGTGCATTAAAAGTTTATGTTAAAACCCGTTTCTCTTTCATTATATAATAAAACAATTATAGACTCTTGTAGAGGTCGATATCGGTTTTAATTGACCTGAGAAAAACAATATGGACCTCGCAAGCTCGGTCGATATTGTTTTACTCAGGTCAATAAAAACCGATATCGACCTCTACAAGAGTCTATAATTGTATATTATTACTCTCCCGTGGAAGATACTGCAGTGTAATATTTTTACGGCAATATTACACTAGTGTAATACCGCTAGACATATGACGTCAATGTTTTACAGTTATGACGTCACAATGCTAATACCTCTGTCACAATGTTAGTAGGCAGTTTCTATCAATTTATGTTGGAGAGTAATAAACAGAATACTAAACTCGCTTCTCTGAAGTACTATTTTTATTAAACTCGTGAAAGATTAAGTATCAAATGAGCGATCGCTCGTTTGATACCAAATCATTAACTCGTTTAATAAAACTGGTATTACACGGAAGGTCGTTTAGTATCCTCTATATATCCATAAAATTATCATCATTCTTCATCACCTCAACTTCTGAAATGCCCATCAAAGAAGTCATACTTGGACCCACGGCATGTACAAGTTAACAAGAAACACTGACCTCTCAGGGTCGGATACAGCTTTTTGAGAAAAAAAGGGGGGTGGTGGGTGGGGTGTGTGTGTTTCCACATTATTGAGATCTCTGGATCCGCCTATGCCTCTCTATGAGAGAATGAGACAATAGATTAGGGTATACGCATACGCTGAACTTACGTTGACACCCGTGGGTCAAGATACTCTCACCTTTTCCCGCACACCGGATATCATCACCATTTGACGGTGTTTGATGGATCCTGCTTATGATATTGTCGGAATGGTACGTTGTTTTGACAGAATATGTCATGGGTTTGGTAGCTTCGGTTTGAATCATACAAGCAGTGAAATAAATGTTATAGTTGTGTAGCATTCTTGTTTCAGATAAGATATTTCATTCTCAAACCGGATCTTGAACTGTAACATATTTGTAATAACCGTGTAACCTCTTTAAACATGTTCTTAAGGCACAAGATGACATATTGGAATACACCCAGATAATGTGGAAGTCATTCTCGCATATGAGAAAAAGAACTCAAATGAAATGTAAAAACATTCAAAAAACTACACTGGAAATGATTGTGCACTGAAAGCCTGGAGTTCTTTTTCTCCAGTTTTGGAATGTTTCTGCCAATAGCAGGAACTGTCAGAGATATGTGACAAATTCTCGGGTTACAGCAAATCCTCATGTAACAGCACATTCTCTGGTTACAACAAATCCTTCGGTCACAGCCAATCCTCAGGTTGCAGCTAATCCTCAGGTTACAGCCAATCCTTCGGTTACATCCAATCCTCAGGTTACAGCCAACCCTCATGTTACAGCCAATCCTTCGGTTACAGCCATTCCTCAGGTTACAGTAATTTCTCAGGTTACAGTAATTTCTCAGGTTACAGCCATTCTTCAGGTTACAACATTTCCTCTGGTTACAGCCATTCCTCAGGTTACAGCCAATGCATCACGACATGTATGTGTACATTTGATAAAAAGTCAACATCCGGTTCATAAACAACTTTGAGACTGGATATTTCGGTCGGTTACAGGATTAGCAGAGCATGTGTACCGGCAGTTGGGCGTGGGCAGGTATTTTCCAAATCTTTTCAGGTTTTTAATTACATGGTGTTACGCACTTCGCGAGGTAAGATATGTTCTATTGCAAAATAAAATCCCATTTATCGACCAGGTTATCTTGTCTGGGCAAGGCCATTTTATCTGACAGAAATATAAGTGATGATATCACTTGGATGTCTTTCAGATATAATGACCTTGCCCAGACAAGAGGAAGGACGCAGAAGGATAAAATAGGTGGCGCTATGATCAGCCACGCTACGAGGGTCGATCAAAAAGTACGTAGCCAAACTATATTTTCGATGTCCAATTTTTTAGAAGCTGCCATTCTATTTTGAAGGAATCGTTAGCTAAGCCATATCCAAAATTTCACATGTGTGGGTAATGTGGTTAACCAGATATTTGTCATCACAACACATTGGGGTATAATATTTCTAACAAAATTGCAGAAAATGAAAAACGATTTGTCTTTTGGTACCTCTTGGATAATGGTATGCCCTCAGATAATGTCATATAAAATATGTTCAGTATAGTATTGGATGACTTCCCGTCATGTTCAACAGTCAAAGATTTGAATTGCCTGATTTATATTTTGTCGGGGGCTATTTTTTGAGGACACCCCCATTTTAATCTTTCAAAAACATTGTGTCCAGATATTCAAGGTGGCACTGTCTACAATATATTGTGAGCTGACACTTGTGTGACCATTCATTATTTAGTTTGAACCCTTGGCATCATGTATGCATAGTGAAAACATTAGAATAAGCTATGCCCTTATGATTACGTCACCTAAAAGGTGATGGGTAGTGTCTCCAAAACAAGCTCTTTCAGTCAACGTGAAGGGGGGAGTCACTTTAACAAGCGATTGTAATTTCAAATTGCTTTTTTATGAACTTTGATATAGAAGTGTGATTCTAGGGGACTTCTATCAATCTCAAACACACAAAATATTTCTTGCATATTTTGTTTCCTGACGTTTTTGATGCATTTATTGTAGATTTTGCGTTTTTTGAGGGTACCAAGATAAAAGGTCAAACAAAATGGGGATCGTGAGACTGGAACATAGCAAAACCAAATTTCTTTGGGGGCTTTTCAAGACGAAACCATATCTATCTTACCATAACTACAATTTCATTTTGATTTTCAATACTTTTCATAAACTAGCCCCCACCCCACCCACCCGGCGCTCTGAAAACCGTTCCTACGCCCCTGGAGCTCGTGGGGTTTTCCTGGGGATTAGTTGCAAAATACTACTTGCCCTCTTTATTATACTGGAAGCCTGTCATACATACCCTGAAACAAATATATCCAGGAAAGCTCACAGTCCATGCAAGTGTAGAATATATGGCAAGTCCAGATATCCACAGTTTCAGAAAAGGAAGAAATTCTCTGGGTCCCTTTTCATTATATTTTATGATCATGTTTAAGACTGATTATGCTTTTTTTCTGTAAAAACATGTTGTTCATTTCAGGGACTAGACGTCAGTCTATGACACTGGAAGTCCGTGTATATAAAATCCAAGATTACAGTAGAAACATACGCATATCCTGGAAAGAGTGAGTGAGTTTAGTTTTACGCCGCCTTTTATCAATATTCCAGCAATATCACGGCGGGGAACACCAGACATGTGCTTCAGACATTGTACCCATGTGGGGAATCGAACCCGGGTCTTCGGGTGACGAGCTAACGCTTTAACCACTAGGTTAGCCAACAGCCCCTATTCTTGAAAGATTACATGATCAATATAACCACTTTCCTTCGCAGAATCTTTGCGGCCATCCTTGTACCTAAGTTCTATCGACATGCACACACCAGCATACCTATATTGAGTAGTTTCTAGGAATGTTGAGTAGTTATTGAAGGGGCGTTGTCAACAAATAATATCGATATCGAACCATAATGTCGGCTAATATTGATAGATATACCACAATGTAAAAGCATTGATAATCGATCACTCTTGGCTTTGATCTTTATGGTTTGGGGATATGTCCAATTTATATATATATATATTGAAAGAAAAAAATAATGTTTACAACCTACCAATTCGACACTCTTTCACATGACCGAGATGTGGTATGCCTAAACAGTATTGAACTTTGAGAAGCGTACAGTCAGGCCATTCCTTGAACAAAAGCTTATTGTCAACCTAAGTCGATAACATTTCTATGCATCGATTAAAACCAGTTCTTTATACTGAAAACAATTAGCCAAGTATTGAAAGTTGAGTTTTTAAGTAACAGCGTTCATGTAAATAAATGGTATCCATATTTATGGATATTTAACAGCATCGAACATAAATCTCTTTTAATTGAAATTTCCACTATTGTGTCCCCACACTGACAGTGAAAGCTTCTTTGAGAACACGCATAGTAAATTAAGATCTCTTATCAGTCTGTTATAAATATTGATGTATGGAAATTTACCTGTATATTTTCTAATCAAGAAACTATTCTCGATCATACAGATTGTTACGTAGGCAATGCTCTTTATGATTTGTGATACAAATATTATGTAGTTATGTATGAATGGATTGACAGGTACCAACGGCTCCTATACTCTTTTGTTACGTTTGTATACGGTTTAGGAATAGGTCCGATGGACAGAGCTCTTAATGTGAATCATCTTTATTAAACTACAGTTTGGAAACGTACCTCAATAAAAAAGTGATGAATATTCAATGAATCCATATTACACAAAATGTTATCAACATTCAAGTTACGGACAGATTATATAATCAATGTAGGCAAACAATGATTTGATGGGGATTCTGGGTACATGTTCTGTTGGTTGTTTTTGTTTCTATTTAGGGGGCATGGTGGGTGAGTTGTCTAAGGCGCCAGCGAACTTGAGGTCCCGGTATCGAGCCCACCTGTGACGGGTGTAAAAATTTTGGACTCAACTTTGTATGCAGACTCTTTAGGTCTTGTCACAGCCCCTAGTGTACAGTACACAACCCTGTGCACTTAAAAGAACCCACGAATCTGTTGGTATATGACCAGATGGCGGCCACATGAATACGTGCAAACACCTAGTTGCGGGTGCAGCAACGTGCAGTAAACTTGGACAAAGTACTGTGACTATGTGTCCCAGTCAACCCAGCTGTGAATGGGTACCTCGTAAGGATTGGAAAACTGCAATAACTTGGTACGCCTAGCGGCTGCAAGAGTTGTATGATTCCCAGGGAGTTGAGATTGATAAAACGATGTGCCGTTGAGACTGGCATCCAATGATCGAGGGGAAAAACCCCAACGCTTTGAGCGTGTGATAGCATGCGCTATATAAATACCATATCCTATCCAATCCTATTTCATATTCCAACTATATCGTTTGTAAACAATCTACTCTTGGACAAACCAATGATGGATATTATAAGCAACCTCCCTCGTCATAGGGATACGATGACAGGCAATAACGCAAGTGCCCGGGTGTGACCGCCTGAGTCCTTCACCTTGTAAGCGGACACCCGGTAGCGGGTTAGGAGAAATCCTAGGCCGTCTAGTAACCTCTGCTCCGTCAGAGCATGACAGTGCAGTCTTGCACAGATACAGGGGTGGTTGGAAAGTTCTGAGCCGAAATGTGATGGATTGTGTGGACGAAGTTGGTTGAAAATGATTTTGTATTAGTATACCCTCAAGCTCCAGAAATCATCGACCAGTGAAGACCCGGGTTAAAATTGGTCTTCTTTGCCCATGATTGTCAGGCTCCCTGTGCTAGTTGAGAGATGTCATCGTAGTCACACCCTATCGTTGGCACCACACCTGCCAAGACATAGGCGGATCCAGAAGGGGGGTGCAGGGGTGCGCACCCCCCCCGCCCTTTTGTCCTGAAAGTTTAATAAATGACCATTAAAACTCGGATGAAAATTACATGTGCACCCTCCCTTTTCTCAGTAGTATGCAACCCCCTTTCTAAAAAGCTGTATCCGCCCCTGCAAGACCGTAATGATGTGGCACAGGCAAACTGTAGCGCAAACAGAGAGAAAAATTACCAGTCTTCATATATGCTTCGCTCGCAATTTTTCTCTCTGTTGTGCGCAACCCTATTTGCGCTACAGTTTACCTGTTGATAGATATATGTGATGACAGCGCAGTAGACAAGTTTTTCTATTTTTATCTAGACAGAATACTCCAGGAAGAACCTCGCTGCCCGGTTTTGTATTTGGTTGAATCTCGAAGTATTTGTACTTAATACATGAAAACTGTTCAAAATTAAAAATAGGGCTCATTACATTTCATCCATCCCACGTATTCTCCTGTATTGATTCTTCTTTAGCCTTTGGGTTGTTTGGGCATTTATCAAATCTATATTTCGCATAGGTGTAAGAAGGTGAATGAGTGGTTGTCCTAATGCAGAAAAACCTTCTTCCTCTGTACATCCTATAAACACCCACGAAATACACTATTACATGTATTGAATGCTGGAACTCACATTACCCTGGGTGTGAGCTACCCCATTTGTAACAGGGAAGGAGGAAATAATATATGTAAAACAAAGAAAAGTGTTCATTTCGCGAGAAACGATGCATAAAATGTAAAGATTATCAGTTTTACTCTGACTTTCATGGCCAGGAATCATCTCAATATATGTCACTAGAAGAATGTCATTAATTTGGACAGTATATCAATAGTCAATTACGCATGGCTATACAATTAAGGAGATGCATTTTGAAATCATTACTATGTTTTTTAGACATAATTCCAATCGATTCGTGTAGTTCTGATTATTTTCATCCCTTCTCGCATTGATTTTAGAGACAGCAATTATTTAATGATTCGTCACGCATCCTCTGTTATACTGCAGGTCGTGGAGTGAGATATATTCCGATATACACCTTTTCATACTGACTAGTGAAAACCATTGCCAGTGAATAATATGTGCCGCAGATATTCTATATATATTGGTGTGGGATCGAACAATATCTACTAAAGACGGACTCTGACTATATCATGAACATGATTTCATGATTCGCTACCAGCTTGTGATGAGCATGTGCTTGCAAATGTGAGAATATTATGCCCAAGGAATGGCATCCGTCACAAACGCATGCAAAAGGCAATTCAGCTGCTCCCATATAAAACACTAAAACCACGGACATTATTCAGTATATGGTACAAGTGCAAGGAATTGCATTGCTCAACTGCTGGCACTGTTGCATTTACAGCAATTTTGCCTAATGATGATTCGGGGCGGTGGGGTAGCCTAGTGGTTAAAGCGTTGGCTTGTCACGCCGAAGATCCTGGTTCGATTCCACATGGGTACAACGTGTGAAGCCCATTTCTGGTGATATTGTTTGAATATTGCTAAAAATCGGCGTACAATCATACTCAATCTATCACAATGATGATGATTTATTCTGAATCGTTGTACAGGAGGTGAGTTTGATACGTGCTTGCGGCTCTCTCTCCCCCTCCCCCCCCCCCCCCTCTCTACCTATATGCCATCTGGCCCCTTAAATAAAGTGATCTTAGCTTCAACTGTCGGGTTCTATATTTCAGCATCGAACCATGACTATGACAGCACTAAGACCGCTTTATTATAAGGCAATATTCAGTTTCCTGATGTCACGTGAGCTTTCATTGGCCTATTTACAAATGTATATATCCTAGCATATAGTTGTTATATGTTGTATTGCCTTCTAAACAGGAACAATATGTTTCTAGGAAGACTGACACTCAATAAACTGTGGTAGTGTGGAAAATTCAGATGTTAGCCTATCTCGCCTTAGGATAATAACCGTCAACAGTGTGGACACGCTGAAACGCTTCTATATGTGAAGTGCTAACGCGGGTTTGATCGGAGACAAACAGAAATGTGTGGTCTTCATCGACAGCTTTATCAAGAAATGTGAGAAATATTAACAAGAACACGCCGAAATATTTGCTTAGCTGGTCTCAGGAGCAATTTAGGATTTTGTTCCAAAAATATTGCCAAGGAAATGGTGGGAATACAAAACTTCAAGTACATAAAAGCGATTTGTGCGTGCGTGCGTGTGCGTCTGTGTTCCGCGTTATACGAAGTCTTCAACTAGGCTGCCGTGAGATTCCTGGAGAACAAGGGCCCAAATACCTAATGCTTGCCTTGAAGAGTTCGCAATCTCTGCGGTGCTTCTTCGCGTTTGGGGTGGTGGGGTAACCTATATAGTGGTTAAGGCGTTCGCTCGTCACGCTGAAGACCCGGGTTCGATTCCCCACATGGGCACAAAGTGTGAAGCCCATTTCTGGTGTTCCCTGCCGTGATATTGCTGGAATATTGCTAAAAGCGGCGTAAAACTAAACTCACTCACTCTTCACGTTAATCATAGAGATGAAATACAGATTCGTCTTGGAATTAATTGAGAAATGTAGTCACCTTCGTGATCCCTAAATAGTCCAGTTATTTTACAAACTGGCCGCAAAATAGTTATCCAGTTATTTTCATCACAATATTTATAACAAGGTTTTACTATCATCTGAAAGAAACGTGTTCCATATCAAATCTCTCTCAAGAATCTAATACTAGTATATGTATAACGTTTCGAGGTATCATAACTCATGATCGTTCCTCAACTCGTCACGTAAATTTGTGTCAGGTTTTTGTCATTGGTCTCATTGGTCAGTCGAGATAGCGCACGTGAGTATCATGATGCCCACGGTTGTATGATGCCTAATTATTTAGCTAGACAACAATAGCAATCAAACAATATCAACGAATTATCAGTTATTGCTTTGAACACGTTCACTTTACGACATGATATAGGTGTATTCCGTCTGCGGCAGTAAACCTCACTTTTGGCAAATCCACTTTAGAAGATAACAGTCAACGCATGATCACTTAATCCTTTGATTAATGTTTATGAGAACTCCTCTCTGGCTGCGCTTGAACGTGCACATTACGTAACATGTCATACATTTCATTAAGTGGCAAGTTAGAAGCTGGTTTGATGAAGAACAAGTTACAGCTAACACCGAAATGTCGCATCCATTGCATAGGCGGATCCAGAGGGGCGGTGCAGGGGTGCGCACCCCTTTTGCCCTGATAGTTTGTTAAAGGGAATTAAAACTCGGGTGAAAATGAAGTGTGCACCCCCACTTTCTCAAAAAGCTGTATCCGCCCCAGCATTGCATTGAAGAAACTGTCAAACTGTATTACTTGTTTAGCTTCATGTAGTACGTAAGTCCCAAAAACTTTCAAAACTAAATTTAAATTTACCTGATTTTAAAACGTAGTATTTTTTGTTCTTTTAAAGTTGGCTAAATATTTCCTAAAATCGCCAGAGGCTGAAGGGATGGTCTAATTCCAACTAGGGTCCATGCAGGTAGCAAAGGTACTCTAAGTCCCCATGGTCCCTGGTATGGTGATCTACCTTCAGTTGTTGGCGATCTATAGCCTATTTCCATATTGTGTTGTCCTCTATAATTAAAATGTTTTAGATTTAATTACTAGTTTTACATTTATATCTGTGATATTCTAGTTGTTTTACTGTCCTTTGTCGACAGCTATTTAAATTGATTACCTTGTTTTCATCGCTATATGGCTGTAATATTGCCGTTGCGATGTAAACTTTTAACTCACTCACTCATGTAGTCATTTGCCAGATGAGACATCAAGGCTGAATAGTTAACCCAGACACGAGACAAGACACGATGGAATGATGACTTATGAACAGGTGTATGTATCTAACACAAACTAAGTTCCACAACGGGGAGTAGTGAAGCTAGAAGAAAAAAATATTGTATTTATGTGGCACATGCTCATAAAAGACAGACCATACCCTTACAATGATAAAAATGTCAGCATCCAGCCATCAGGCGTACGAGACACAATAATTCAATTTAAAAACATGGAGATACACATACATAATAAATAGCTGAACATAAATATAGTCACAAGCAACGATGTAGGGCTCCTTGGCTTTAGTTCTATCTAGCCTATTGTGTCTGTCACATATTTGATGAAAGTTGTAATAGTTTTAGTTAATATGAATCATATCACTGCCAGTCGAATGCCCTTCGACCGGATGTACTGGAAGGTCTTTAAGTTTCGATAAATTCATCACAAAACCTTTTTTCTTAGATTAAAAAATATCACTTGGGTATCATGAATCTCAAAACAGAAGAACCCTTTGTTCAAACAGCTATCTTAATTACCTCTTACAATCATGAAGAAGATATGTACCAAACGGTGATACTTTTCGCATAAGCCGTAGAACAGAAACTGATCAGCTAACGTTTGCGATACATACGGCTAAGTTCCATTGTGTTCTCTAGAGAACCGATGGAGATAGCAACTAAAGTGTGGAAAATATAATTTCACTTGTCCCTCTGTTGTCTTTGGAGATACATCGCTTCAGTCAGTAGTTATAATCGACACTTATAGCCCAATTGTACAGGTACATTTTGGTCGAAATCGGGCGGTTGGTTTGAGAGTGTTTGAATTGTATTTGAGGGCAAAAAACCATCGTCCAAAACGGAGCCAGAACACGTTTTCTTCTAAATACTGCCGGGGTTGCGGGGGTCATGTACCTTTTTAAGAAGTTCTGGAGAAGAAATAGTTCCCCCTTTAAAAGGCTGTATCTCAATTGTTCTTGGGTCCACGGTCAAAACAATTAGTGTTCTGGAATGTCTAGAGCTGATGGTTGGAGCTCAGCACATTTTGGGAGCAAACCACTCAGAAAACTGCTGAAAAACATTGCCCAAAACTGAAAACAAAAATAACTGCCAAATGGTAGATTTTAGCGATTTGACCCGTCCAGGCAAAATTGTTGGGACTTCGATTGTGCATCTTTACAAGATATTTGGAAGTGTTGGAACAATTAGTTCTTGAGATATTTGCTGTCAAATTTGAAATTTTGGAATTAATTTTTAATTATCTCCCCTTTGCCATTGGGCCTAGAGCCTAGAGATCTTTAAGAGGTATATCTTATCCTCGGTGGGGATCTGTGTGATTTTTGTAAGCGATTTGGAGGTTTAGGAGGTATGTTTGGTACAAAAATCGGCGGAATAATATAATAAAATAATAATAATAATATTGACCTCCCTGAGCGACTACTTGATTTACTCAAGTCTTTAATGAGTTGCTGGTTGACTCAACTTGAGATGTACTTGCAAGGGCAGGTGCAAACTTTGGAATCTATTCCAATCAGGAGGGGAATATTTCAAGGGGACTCCTTCAGTCCTTTGGTTTTTTGTCTGTCTCTAAATCCTTTGAGCTTTCTGCTCAATAAAGAGGAGGTTTACAATCCCGGACCTCCTCAGCGCAGATCCCCAACACCGCTTACTCATCTCCTTTACATGGATGACATCGAGCTCCTTGCCAAAGGACATGCCAATTTGAAAGAGCAGGTTCTCCTTGTCAAGTCCTTTTCTAAAGATATTGGCATGACCTTTGGACTCAACAAATGTAATACACTTCATTTGAAACGTGGCATGGCAGTTAATGGTGGATCGCTTAAGTTACAGGAGGGGGTCGGGGCAGTTACTGAGTATCTTGTGGAAGATCAGGCCTACACCTATCTTGGAATGCAAGTTCGAGACAAGCTCCAGAGTGCACAAATTCAAGAAAAACTTCGGGCCGAGTACAAATCTCGTTTAAAGAAAATCTGGAGCTCAGAGCTAAATGCTCGAAACAAGGTCAAAGCCACCAATACTTTTGCTGTGCCAGTCCTCTCCTATTCCTTTGAGTAGTAAGACATGACTTGGTTGACACATGTCATCGGTTCCCAATTGCGCAGATCGATGCTCATGCTGTTGATCACTGGGTTGTCTGGTCCAGACTCGATTATTTACAGACCGCCGCCATATAACTGGGATATTGCTGAGTGCGGCGTCAAACTAAACTCACTCAATCACTCATTGTTGCTTGTTTTGAGGATACTAACGAAACTTTATTGTTGCATACAAACATGCATCAAATATGTTTAATCATTTTGGCTAATCAAATGATGGGCTGTCCAGATGATTTCTTTGCATTTTGTTTTGCGTTATCAACAGAGATGGATTTATGAATGTATTTATTGGATCGAAGAATTTCTTTCAGAAATTAGCGAATTTGTGAATTAATCAGCGTGTATGGTAGTGCCAGGAAATTCCGTGATTGATCTTATCAGGGTCGATGGAAGGTCCCCTATCTGTGAAGTCCCTTGGTTATCAATATGTTAACGATGTAATCGTTTCCACTGAAATAAAGTAAATTCTGTTTAATAAAGAATCAAGACTTTAAAACTGTAGAGTAATGTTCTCGTGAAAGAGAATGCACAGGCATCGTCAGTAACCTTTGACCCACTGACCTCCAACCTCTGACCTGTCCAAGATGGCCGACTTTGTGAATGCTTGTCGTTTTGTGTTGAGCTGACAATTTTGGCAGGTTTCTTTCGTTGTTCGTGATTCTGATCGCCACCGCAGTGTAGATGCCATTTGGCTGATTTACCATACTGATATGATGCTGCATTATGCTACTAATATTGTTTTCTTTGCAGCCACGATTACCAGAGCGGTGTATTTTGCACCAAAAGTAGCATCCATATTTTCCGTTCATGTTTATGTTACGGTACCGTTTCCAGTGTTGTTGACACGAAACGTCACTATGTTATTGTTTAGTTCTCGTGGTGATGTGACCGACATCTCTTTGAGCTCTTTTGTACTGTAGTTGTATGAATTATTGATGCATTGTTAATTACAAAACGGTGTGGCATGTCGGAAGGAAGCAAGGTGAATATGGATCATGTATGACTAAGTTACTGGAAATTACCATTATGAACAATCCCAACAATGTGGAACGATTATATTCATGAGTTTGGTTCTGGTGTTTCTTCGTAGTAATGACACAATGTTGCCAGAAAATATTATCTTAGTTTGATTGTTGTCTTGAACATGTGTGGGTCACACTGTGGAGTGACGTTTTGAATAATGTGGCAAGTGTCACAGAGGCCACACTGTGGATAGTATGCCTGTATATGCTGTCAGACATTCCCAATGTTGGTGATAATGCACTGTACATACTTTCAGAGATCACAGTGTGGGTGATATGCCCAGTATTTACTGTCAGAGATCGAATGTGTGGTATGCCCTGTATATGCTATCACAGAGGTGATATGCCTATGTATATGCTATTAAGTAAAGGTCGCTATATGGATGATATACAGTGGACTCTGTGGCAATATCGGTTATCTGTAAACACCCGGCACTCTGTCTGCATCAGCACAAAGTTTCAGTCGGCAGAAATGCGCTTAATTATCGTTTAGAAGCAATCTGTAAACATTGTTGGCGTCTGCCTACTCGGATATAGGCATTGTTTTCAGTTCCAGCTGAACAGTTGTTATGAAAGCGAATCTGTAAAAAACCGACACATGAAGGGACGGCCTTGGCCCTTTGATGCAATTGGGTCCAAATGATGTAACAACTTCAGTTGAGGGTTACTCGAAGATTATTCAGAAGCGGGAAGTGTTAATCGGTTTCTTGATGAATTGTGAGTGATTGGTGCGTGTCGCGGTGAGTAATTATTAAATGTTTCTTATTCAAACATGTTGTTAATGCTAAATTGACAGTACGACAGTGGAAGCTTCGCATATGATGGCGCCGGTCATAGGCGAGACTTGCAACCGGCCTAAACTGACCTCTGTCCAAGGCAAATTTTTATTTGGTCCTGGTGATGTACCTATATTGACCAGGTACGCTGTATATAAAGGCATATCATCCACTTTGTGATCTCCTGACGGTATGTACAGGGACATATGACCCTCATTGTGATCTCCTGACAGGTATATATACAGGAGACATATCACCCACATTGTGATCTCCATTGACGGTATATACAGGGAATATATCACCCACATTGTGATCTCCTGACGGTAATGTGCAGGATTATATCCCCTTACATTGTGATCTCCTGACGGTATATGTAGGGTATATCACCCACATTGTGATCTCCTGACGGTATATACAGAGTATATCACCCACATTGTGATCTCCCTGACAGTATATACAGGATATATCACCCACATTGTGATCGCCCTGACGGGTATATACAGGGTTATATCACCCACATTGTGATCTCCTGACAGTATATGCAGGGTATATCACCCACATTGTGATCTCCTGACGGTATATGCAGGGTGTATCACTTACATTGTGATCACCCTGACAGTATATACAGGATATATCACCCACATTGTGATCACCCTGACGGTATATACAGGGTATATCACCCACATTGTGATCTCTGACAGTATTACAGGGTATATCACCCACATTGTGATCTCCCCTGACGGTATATACAGGGTATATCGCCCACATTGTGATCTCCCTGACGGTATATACAGGTTATATCACCCACATTATTGATCTCCCCTGACAGTATATACACGGATATATCACTTACATTGTGATCACCCTGACAGTATATATACAGGGTATATCACCCACATTGTGATCTCCTGAGTATAGTATATGCAAGGGTATATCACCCTGACATTATGATCTCCTGACGAGTATATACAGGGGTATATCACCCACATTGTGATCACCCTGACGGTATATGCAGGGTATATCACCCACATTGTGATCCCCTGACGGTATATACGGGTATATCACCCACATTGTGATCTCCTGACGGTATATACAGGGTATATCGCACCCATTGTGATCACCCTGACGACGGTATATATATGGTGTAAAGCAGGGTATATCACCCATTGTGATCTCCCTGACGGTATATACGGGGTATATCACTTACATTGTGATCTCCTGACGGTATATACAGGGTATATCACCCACATTGTGATCACCCTGACGGTATATGCAGGGTATATCACCCACATTGTGATCTCCCTTGACGGTATATACGGGGTATATCACCCACATTGTGATCTCCTGACCATATATATACGAGGGTATATCACCCACATTGTGATCACCCTGACGGTATATGCAAGGGTATATCACCCACATTGTTATCTCCCTGACGGTATATGCCAGGGTATATCACCCACATTGTGATCTCCTGACGGTATATACGGGGTATATCACCCACATTGTGATCTCCTGACAGGTATATACAGGGTGTATCACCCTTACATTGTGATCACCCTGACGGTATGTACAGGTTATATCACCCACATTGTGATCACCCTGACGGTATATCACAGGGTATATCACCCACGGTATATCACGGGGTATATCACCCACATTGTGACACCCTTTGATATATGCAGGGTATATCACCCACATTGTTATCTCCCTGACGGTATATACAGGGTATATCACCCACATTGTGATCTCCTGACGGTATATACAGGGGTATATCACCCATTGTGATCACCCTGACGGTATATACAGAATTATATCACTTGCGTTGTGATCACCCTGACGGTATTATACAGGGATATATCACCCACATTGTGATCTCTCTGACGGTATATACAGGGTTATATCACCCACATTGATGATCTCCCTGACGGTATATACGGGGTATATCACCCACATTGTGATCTCCTGACGGTATATACAGGGTATATCACCCACATTGTGATCACCCTGACAGTATATATACGGGGT